GCAGCTCAGTGACTTAGTTTATCATAGCAATAGCTAAAATTGTTTCCTATAAATCTTTGTTCCACATAATTTAGGCTTTTCGCCTTTGATTGATAGCAGTTCTCAAAGATCTATAAGCATCTAACTGAAAATGAGTGCTGTATTAAAACAACTTTTTTCTTAGTCTAGATACCCTCAAAAAGTGAATAGTTTACCTCTTCCAGGAGCCTTGATAGTACAGTGGTTTAGTGCACCCTGTTATTAACACAGCTGCCTGCAATTACTGCTGGTTCGAATCTCTCTAAGGCTCAAGGTTGACTCAGCCTTCCATCCTTTCTAAGGTAGGTAAAATGAGGACCCAGATTGTGGGGGCAATAAACTGACTTTGTATAAAATATACAAAAGAATGAAGGCTATTGCTTAACGCATTGTAAGCCGCCCTGAGTCTCTGGAGAAGGGCGGCATATAAATCAAATTTAAAAAAAAATGTTATCAATGCTGGCTAGAAAATTCTGGAATTAAAACTGGAAGAGCCCAGGCTGATGAAGGCTGATTAGAGTTGATTTATCTATTCAGTGTTATTACAAGGAATGATGACATTCATATTTTTTATATTTTAAAATATATTTTATATTTTATAAAAATATATTTTTCATTCTTAGCTAAGAAACTGTAGAAAGTGAACCAGAGATTTTCTATGTTTAAAAAATGCCACTAAAATGAGAAAGAGAGAGAGAGAGAGAATGAGAATAAATCTTGAAGAAAAATCTGTGATCAACCAAATCTTCTCAATGGAAAATAGCATTTTCTTTGCTTATTGCATAAAACATTACAGACCTCGTGTGGATCTAAGACATGATGTTCACATCAAATTGTCACGTAGTAAGGCTTCTTTGTTCTCTTTCATTCTGGATATGTGTTATCTCAATGTATTTATCAGCTCTATTGTTGTGGAAGCCCACAGTTTGTTTCCACTATGGAGGCTTGTGGACTTCCCATTTGCAGACAGACTGCTGAAATAGATACATCTTTGGTCTTCTTTAGGCTAGGTTCTTAAATAAAAAGGAATGATAATGAAAAATACATTTATTTCTAGAGATATGAAAGGAGTTCAATCCTGACTAGTTTAGGATTAAGGTTCAGTCAGCCTTCCATCCTTCCGAGCTCAGTAAAATAAGGACCCAGATTGTTGGGGAAAATATGCGGATTCTGTAAATCACTTAGAGAGAGCTGTAAAGCACTGTGAAGCAGTATATAAGTCTAAGTGATTTTGCTATTGCTATTATCTATGTATATTTATGTTTCTTTCTAAATATGTATGGTATAATATATGTCTTTCCCTTTGAGAGAGATTGGTAGTTCAGAAATGTGATAGATAGATAGATAGATAGATAGATAGATAGATAGATAGATAGATAGATAGATAGATAGACAGACAGACAGACAGACAGACAGACAGACAGACAGGTAGATAGATAGATAGATAACAGATAGATAGACAGACAGATAGATAGATGACATAGATAGATAGATATAGATGACATAGATAGATAGATAGATAGATAGATAGATAGATAGATAGATAGATAGACAGATAGATATAGATGCAGATAGATGATAGATAGATAGATAGATAGATAGATAGATAGATAGATAGATAGGTGATAGATATTTTGTATAACATTTTTCTATGGTGTGTCTCATCTAGCTAGCTATATAATTTTATTTAGACACTGAACAAAAAGAAAAAAAATAAAATTCTGAAATAACAAGTCATATATGGGTGTACATGAATACACACAAAAAGGGTGTGTGTGTGTGTGTGTGTGTGTGTGTGTGTGTGTGTGTGTGTGTGTAGAATTATTTTCTTAGTTGGGAAAGAAGGAAAAAGTTAGCATTTATATATGCTGATAATTACATGCCCTGTCTCTTACAAGTTGGTATTGATTTCTTTCACTCCTAATTATGCACTTTCTATCTGCTATGGTGCCGCTTTAATTAGGATTCCATGGTTTTAAGGTCAATAGTTTGCTGATCTGGCACAATATCTCTTTAAGTGTGAGAATATACACATTTAAACTGGCTTAGCTCTAATGAATTGATTTCAAATAAATTAGCACAATATTTATTCTGAAACATTAAAACCAGGATGGCAGAGGCTGATTATGTCATAATGAATTATGCTTTATGTCATGTCCAAAATAATGTTGGGTTAAGGGTGACAGAACAGTCTGTCTATTTCTGTCTATGTCAGTTTTCAACGGCCATCCTCTTCTAGGCATCGTATGCATTTTTTTTTAAATGGCACATTCTTAAGACAGACTTAAGTGGGATTTTATTTTATACAAAATAAAAATTTCCTATTAAATAGTGGATTATATTATATCTTGTCTTCAAATACATTTTTAAACACTGATTGAGTACTTTATTTTAAGTCGGGAACTGCACTGTAAAATCTGGAGGTAATCTGAAAGGTAACTATGGTCCAATTTGGACTTTTAATTTGGGAGGTGGAAGAAAATCGACAAGTAACATTATTCTGGACCTGTTGACTTTCAGATGACCATAAATGCATTGAGAATGTCTCCAAAATTCTTTATCTCTTTACAGTGGGAAGGATAAATAGCAAGGGTGCATCAGTGTCTTTCAGAGAAACATCTCGTCCATTGCTGAGGACAAGTTGACAGATACCTGTATGAGCTTTCAGGGAAGCTTGTGTTCTGTACTATGACTGACAAGGTTTGAGTGTATCTGGAAGGCTATAAAACAGTTCCTAAGGGACATTCAGGCAGAATAATAGTAGCCCGGCCAACCATGATATAGGAATATATACCCAGTCCTTATTGTCACTCTTCATCTACCTGCTGTGCAAGGATGGAATGTAGAGGATTCTTAGTAGAGAGGACACTAATAATGCAGTTCCACAAGCTGTCTCCTAATGCTTTAACATACCTGTACAACTTTATCCCGAGTTAGGCTTAAGAATTTTTTTCCCATTATTAAACTCTGCTTAATTCGTGCATCAAATTTTTAAAGACACATAGAGATGACACAGTATGAATTATAATAATTCATTTAAGTGTGATAATAACAAGAATTAAAATGGTTTTGCTTGCACAGGCAGATGTGGAAGGAATGACCAAGTTTTAACCATCTAGGTAACAGATCATTCCACAGGTAGGTTGAAGCTGCTGCTCTTCTTAATTCATTTGCCTGTTGTTACCTGCTTGTAAATTAGGCATTGCAAATAATAAAATACTTTAATGTAAATACTTGGTCTAAGGATGTCTTCTCCCTTGATTGATACATATGTAAACCAGTAGCTCACCATGTGAACTTAGATTGTGTTTACAACAGTAAGCAAATGACTTTGTGAAATTACACATCCTTAGGTTACCAGAAAAATTTTACAGTTGTCCTCCTGAATTTCTCCAAAGGAAGGATTCCCCCCACCCCAAATCTTTTCCATTTCAGATGTAGCAGTTCTTTAAGTTTAATAAGCCATCCGGAGCCTTTGGGAATAGAAAGCATATACATTGGTTACATAAGTAAATATGTCATTTTTAGTGACAGTAGCAGCACAGCTTCTGTGAACTTCCAAATTAAACCCAAGCAAATCCTAGGCAGTTTTGACTGTTTCTAAAAACAACTTATCTCATGTGTGAAAACTAATAGGAGATTCTCTCCCAGTGCTAAAGCAAGCAGGAAGTCTCTGAATATACATTCTTAAAATTGAACTTTCAAGAACAAGATATCTATCTAGGGTTCATTGACAGAATTACAAATGCATGGAATTCATTGCATGAGAGAAGCACCTTGATCAATGATACTAACAGAGTTTTCAAATCTCCTTCCATCATCTAAAAATAATATTTTGGAGGGAAGCTGTTCATAAGTTTTCATTCCATACACATCTGCTAGTTGACTGGAAGAATATTGACATGTTTTGAATCCATGTGAGTGTGGTGACAAAAATACCTTGTGGAAACAAACAAGTAATGAACACATTACATGGAAGACAAGCAGATGGAAATATTACTTCACAAAATTGATAAAACTAGCTTTATTACCTAATGTTAAAGGAATTTGTTATAGGTTTTATCTCTGTCTCACAATTCTAATTGATTTAGCTTCATATTCAGAAGTAGAATGCATCTAAATGTGGGTTTATGTACATACATAAACCTGTAATTTACAGGTAAGTAAAGGATGTCACTTTGGATTGCAGATAAATTAAAATATAAGATATTCACCTGTAGTATCAGACTCAAACTTTGATTAAAGAGAGGTTGATGTTTTGTAAGAACATTATTACTTCAGGTATGCCATATACAAACTCATGAATGCCTTATGGCAAACTACCCTTGTCAACTCCCGGCCCATGGGCCAGATACGTCACATGTTGGCCACGTTCATGTCCGGTTTAGTGAAGGGGGAAAAAGTCCCAATTTATCATGTGACACCGCCGTGATGACGTGAGTTTGACACCCCTGCCTTATGGTGTTCCTCCTTCACTACAGAATAAATTGACTAAGGAGGCAGCAAGAGAGATGACTGCTTTTTTCCATATATTGCTGGCTGATTGTCCAAATCAGAGAAGTGCTACTTTAGGAATTGGCTTATAATTGTGATGTTTCTGCATGGTGTTGTGTTTCAAGGTTGCTAACCCATATTCATAAACACAATACTTGAGAAGCAGGAATATTCACAGGAATTTAGGCAGATAACAGCAGACAAGAATATGATTCAAATGTCTGGTAAAGAATGCTTTCCCCAAGGGAGCCAAATAGAAGCCAACAAGCAATAATGTAGTCCAGAAATATTCTAAAAGTCACAGGATGCCAAACCAAGTAGTCCAAAAGTCAAGAGTCACAAACAATTCAAGCACTAAATAGACAAATGGTTCTCTTCAACAAGGACTGCCAAGCACAGGAGCTAACTAAATCTCTCTACATCCACTAGCTGCAATTACTCATGTCTTGCCTTTTGTTTTGCAATGAGAAATGTTGTAGCCAAGGAAATCCATTCTTAGATTTTAATTTCCATCATTGGTCAGATAAGAGGCAGTCACGTTCACAGAAGGAATGGGAGCATAGCTAATGTCTCACAAGAGATTGTTCCTAGTTTCTTGGGCTGTAAAGGAGACAATTGAAGAGATGTACTGTCAGATTTGCAAGATTCTGTTACTGTAGCCTTTTAATAAAGTAAAATTAGCTCACCTGATTGTGTTTTCTGTCTGATATACCTCATAAAGCTGAAAAATGACTTAATATTCCATTTAACAGCTTTACTGTATGTGTTCTTCATTGTCTAACAGAGTTGTTGCTGCAGTTGAAACCTAGAATGTCATCATCCTAGACAAGGGCTACCATTAGTCATTTGAGTTTCTCTTTTAAATTAGTCCGTAACAATCAACTTCTAGTCATTTTGTTGTCTGGAATACATTTGACTCACCCTGTGGAAAAAAAATTGAACTTTTTCGTATTTTGCCAGGTGGCATTGTTGGGTTTTCATTTCAATTTCCATTGGTTGCATTGGTCCAGTAACGGCAAAGAGTGAAAGTCAGGTAGCTATTAAAAAGGCCACTGGTTTTTTTTCCCACCCTACTTAAATGATAACTCGATTTATTTACGATTTACTGCTTCTCTGAGTGAGGGTGCCTTTCCTGCTGCCTTGAAAGAGGCGGTAGTGAGGCCCCTCCTCAAGAAGCCTTCCCTGGACCCGGCTGAATTAGCCAACTACCGTCCGGTCTCCAACCTTCGTTTTGTGGCGAAGGTTGTTGAGCGCGTGGTGGCACGACAGCTTCCCTGACACCTGGATGAAGCTATCTATCTGGACCCGTGCCAGTCGGGCTTCAGGCAGGGGTACAGCACAGAAACGGCATTGGTCGCGTTGGTGGATGATCTTTGGAGGGCTCGGGACAGGGGTTGCTCCTCTGTCCTAGTCCTATTAGATCTCTCAGCGGCTTTTGATACCATCGACCATGGTATCATGCTGCAGCGGTTGAGGGGGTTAGGAATAGGGGGCATCATTTTGCGGAGGTTCTCCTTCCTCTCCGACCACTCGCAGTTTGTGTTGGCAGGGGGGCAGAGGTCAACCTCGAGGCACCTCGCATGGGGAGTGCCGCAAGGGTCGGTCCTCTCGCCCCTTCTGTTCAACATTTATGTGAAGCCGGTGGGTGAGATCATCCGTGGTTTTGGGGTGAAGTGTCATCTGTACGCTGATGATACTCAGCTGTACATCTCCACCCCAGACCACCCCAACGATGCCCTTGATGTGATGTCTCGCTGCCTGGAGGCCGTGCAGGTCTGGATGGGGAGGAACAGGCTCAGACTCAACCCCTCCAAGACTGAGTGGCTGTGGCTTCCGGCATCCCGATATAGTCAGCAGGTGCCATCGCTGACTATTGGGGGTGAATCTTTGCCCCCCACAGAGAGGGCTCGCAATCTCGGTGTCCTCCTGGATGCACGGCTCTCTTTAGAAGAGCATATGACGGCCGTGGCCAGGGGGGCCTTTTATCAGGTTCGCCTGATTCGCCAGTTGCAGCCCTTTCTGGACCGGGACGCCTTGCGCATGGTCACTCACGCCCTTGTCACCTCCCGGCTGGACTATTGTAATGCTCTCTACATGGGGCTCCCCTTGAAGAGCACTCGGAGGCTCCAACTGGTCCAGAATGCAGCCGCGCGGGTGGTTATGGGTGCAACTCGTTGTGCCTATGTGACACCCCTCCTGCGCGAGCTGCACTGGCTCCCAGTGGTCTTCCGGGTGCGATTCAAGGTTCTGGTTACCACCTTTAAAGCGCTCCATGGCATAGGACCCGGGTACCTTCGAGACCGACTTCTGCCACCAATAGCCTCCCACCGGCCAGTTCGCTCCCACAGAGAGGGTCTCCTCGGGGTACCATCGGCTAAGTTATGTCGGCTGGCGACACCCAGGGGGAGGGCCTTCTCTGTGGGAGCCTCAGCCCTGTGGAATGAACTGCCCCCGGAAATATGTAAGATCCCCGACCTCCGGGTATTTCGCTGTGCACTGAAGACCCTGTTGTTCTGCCAGGCCGGGCTATCGACATGATAATTTTAAATTGGGGTATTTTAAATTTCTGGGGTTTTAAATGGAGCCAATTTTTTTTAATAATTTTTAATTTTAAATTGATGTTTGTCTTGTGTTTTTAAATAGGCTGTACACCACCCTGAGTCCTTCGGGAGAAGGGCGGTATAGAAATAAAATTATTATTATTATTATTATTATTATTATTATTATTATTATTATTATTTCCTTTGTCCTATATAGCATGGACCCCCTTTAACTGCTTTTTGTGGCCATGGCCATGGACTACCAAGACTTAACTCAAGATTTAAAGCACTAGATTGCAACAAATATTACCGGACACTTTGTGATGACACCGTGTCCCCCCAGGGGCCCGCCAACCACAGGTTGAGAACCACTCTGCTATAACGTATGTTACTCAATGTAAAATATGACAACCTTCAAAAAGTAGATTGACAGTGTAGATTAAAAAAGAAAGGAAATAATAGATCATGTGCCATTTTGTTGCCTATTTTATACATGGCTTCAAAATGAATTAATATAGCTGCTCATTACCATACACCCAGGTAGATCAGAGAGAATATATGAATGTATTATTAGGGAATTGGTTTCCATATCAATCAAAGGTGATCACAAAATTTTGCTCAACTGCTGTTTCTACATGAGACCTATTCTGTTGAGAAATTATGAAAAATCCAATCTTTTACGATCTATTAATTCATTTAGCATTTCTTTTAAAGGATAGTTCTTTTTAGTATTATGTTTTAGAGGTTTTTTTAAGTAGATCTTTGTAATAAATTCAAGTTGAACTGGAATTCAAGAGTCACTGATTCATCAGGTTAGAAAATAGAATGCTGGATAAAAGAGATATCTGCCCTCATTTGTGAGGGATTATTTGATATTGTAACTTGATGTTACTCTCCATATATATATTGAGATAATATCTCCCAATATTTCCACATGACCACTTCCTAGGAGCTTTAGAAGCTGTGGTTTTAACAAATCTGTTTGATGCCAGGAATACTGTATTATCACTCATAGGTAGAATTTGTGAATTATTGGTTGCCATTTGCTGTTTAAACATAAACAAATTCATTCAGACAGAAACATGCACATACATTATTGCTCAATAATCAGATCATCAGACAGAGGGCTATAAGACACAGAATGTGAAAATCCAGACAACCTTTAGATGTCAGCAAAGGAAGCATTATTTTGCTTCTTTCTGCATTGCCCGGATTGTTATATCCCAGATTTAGTTGTCCTGTTGTTGCCCCTTCACATTTTCCACCTGAGCAATTCTGAAATATATTATGAACTGCAATATCCAGTGTACAACTGAATAAGAAGCTGATCCCTTCCTGTCTCATGTGAAGTGGAAGATATGCTGATATGACATCAAATCTTTGCAGCAGCCGTACGATACGGCCCCGTAAGATTGCATTGCTACAAATACAGCCATCATTACAGCTATGCTTTATGAGTCTGACAAGTCATCTTCAAGGATCCCGGTTTCAAATTGATAGTGTAGGCCTTTTTTTTTTTTTTAATCTTTTATGATTTGTCTTTAAACAGGAAGGCAAGCGAGTGGAAAACGGGTTTAAGCATCAGTGAGCTTTGCTTTTCTAAGCTAGTCAAAGATTCACATAGAACTGCTAGGAAGCAGATTCCCAGAAGGGTACTTTGCAGATTTTCAGAAACATATATTATAATGATGATTCACCAGCCATCACTTCTTGGTTACATGGGGAGTACTCTAGAGTCAGTTGGCCTCTGCCATATATTGACAGTTAAGTCTTATTTTCACTAGTGGTAGAGACAGGGATAATAGCATCTCCCTCATACAGGAAACAAGCAAGAAAGGCAAAGGAAATAAAACTCTCCTTCTATGACATAACTTCATAATATTATTTGTTTATTCAGAAACAATATTTGGAAACTCAGTGGGATCAATATTAAGTTAGTTCCATTGAGCTTTCCATGGGAAAGGGGGAAGAGAAAGAAAGAAAATAAAAAGGAAAAAAGTGAATGTGTGTCATATGGTCACTCCCTCAGCCTAAATTAAGTAGAAATAAGAAGTAAACAACTCCGATCCAGGTTTCCTTGTAAATATAAGACTCAAAGAATAAATTCTATTATTCTTTGTTAATATAGTATGGGAGACATTATGGCTTAGTGGTTAAAGGCTCTAGCCTGCTAGGTGGAAAGCTGATGCCTGAGTTTAAGACCCAAGCACCTTGCAGTGGGGTGAGCTGTTTGCTTCAGCTCTTGGCCCACTTAGCAGTTTGAAAGTATCCAAGTAGATAAATAGATACTACTTCAGTTGGAAAATAACAGCATTCTGTGTGCCTTGGTGTATAGTTATGCTGGCCACATGACCATGGAAAGAGTCTTCGGACAATGCTGGCTCCATCGGCTAAGAAAAAGAGATGAGCACTTCATGAGTCAGACATGACTGGACAAGGGAAACCTTTGTTTATAATATATAGTAAGAATCAATATTGATAATAAATGCAGGAAATGATCAATTTTTATTTGATATAAGATTGCAATTGGATATGTTTCATTACTATAATTCTTTGAATGACTTTTTAATTACTTAATTATGTTAACACCATCATAATAAACTTATTTAAGATGGAATGCTTTTAAATAACAAAGTCATCTATTATAAATGTACACAGGACAACCGTACCATAGAAGCTTAATAATCGTGATTGGTGCTCCCCAGAAATTCATCTGTTGGGGGCAAAACAGAAATATGCTTTTGAAATAGGTCAATTTGCAATGGTATTCAAAACGGGATGCAAAGAGCTAATTTCAGTTACTTTTCATTCCTTTGAGAAATAAGAGTCCTGTCCTGTTGATAAAATAGTATAGTTTACAAAAATAACTCCCTCTCAGAATATGGGTTGAATCAGGTCAGATCTGAACCTATTTATGCCCAACAAGATCCTGATAAACTCCAGACACAGGAAATCAGCATAGCACGTTAAAGTTCTTATGGAGATATCCAATTGAGCATCATCAACAAATTAATGGATTTCTTCCATTGATTTAACAGAACAGGGAAAAGTCTCCATCTA